TGTGTGTGTGTGTGTGTGTGTGTGTGTGTGTGTGCGTGTGTGTGTGTGTTTTCAAAGCACTTGGGATTCTGAAATCCTTGGGCAGATTACATTTACATGGCAACAGACATAACAAAATATTTCATATTATCACAAGTAACTGTGCCATTATGCATAGTTTGAAATTAACACAGCACAACATAAATATAGATAAACATATTCATGTGCTTTATACTGTACAGGAGTGGATATAGAAAGTAATTCTCAACACCTCCATAGTTTTCTATGCAGTATTTCATTGGGCTCTGTCAGTCAGTTTCGACCCCATTGTGATGAAAGGTGTGTTTCCGTGTAGGAACTTGCATCTCGTGTGACTGCATGTTCAGGTGTTCCTTGTCCTGGCCTGCCTGTGAGGTGAACCAGTTCCTCAGGTGGGATCCATCAGAAAACGCTTCCGCCTCGATGCTGACAGACTGCCACATTCCATCTCTTAATTACACGCTAGCGTTTGCGCCAAGATGGGGTGCGGCGAGACTGCGTTGCATAATTCAACACCAAATGTTGCTCAAGGTCTTTTCACAATGGAATTTCCACACTGCATTTTGCATGCTTCCACGCCGCACAATGTTGTTTTTACAAGTCAGGATGTATGAATTAGGTCGACAAAAGGTGTGGCGCTTGTTTGACTTTCTCTCATCGGCTTACTTTACTTTTTAGCATCGGCTAAAACAACACAGGCTAATCCCCTCCACCTTTGTCCAACATGCTAAAATAACAACACAGCTTTTAAAAAAAAAAACATTTATTTGCAAAATGAATGCCAGCATTCACATTAAAAACAAACTATCTCACATTTGATTTCAGCTTCTGATAAATAAGACTAACACAAACATCTAACACTTTCTTAGTTGTGAAATTGTGGAATTGTAAACAATATTGCACAGGGTTGTTTCTCAACAAAATCAATAAACCATCACATAGATAACACAGACTGCGTATATATTGTTTTAACTGTAGCTCAGGTTGCTATCTCAAACTCGAGGCCTAGGGGCTAGTTACGGTCCCCTGCATCATTCTTTTCTGGCCCACGAAAGCAAATTTAGTGTGTGTACCACTTCTTGTTATGTCACTTGCAAAATAGATTTTTTTGTTTGTTTGGCATAAAATCTGTATGATTATGTTACATGCACACACTTCATCACATCATGATGAAAATTAGCCACTGTCTATTTCCACGTACATTTCGAAGACGACATTTCATTCTAAAAATACCATATTTGGTCCCAGTCAAAACAGAGTAAAATTAAAACTTAAAATATTCACATTTTACTCAATGTTGTGGATTCGTTGTACTGCAAACGATTAAAATTATCTTTTATTTGATGAGAACTCACTCATGTTTGACATTGAGAGCCTCCCTCATGTACTCTTGAGTGAAGTGATTTTGATCTATTCTGAAGATTTACTCCCGCTCTAGTGGCCGGGGAAACAATTGTACTCCTCTTGCCCACGCTAAAAATACTTTTAGGAAATTTTACTCCGAATGTTTTGCTCCTGATTGGCTGGCAGCCAGTTCAGGGTGTGCCCCGCCTAGCTGCCTGGAGTCAGCTGGGATCAGCTCCAGCATGACCGCGCCCCTTGTGAGGATAAGCGACTCAGATAATGGATGGACGAATATTTTCCTCCCTTCCAAGTGTAATTTTACTCTGCTTACAATGAGTCCAAATAGTCTATTTAGAGAAAAAAAATAAGTCTGCGAAATTTTCTATGTATGGTTGTGTTTACGGTGACAGAACACATGAACAAAAAAACCTGCAGGTGCCCATGTTGCAATTCAATAGCTCCACAAGCATAATTATGGAAGTAAACAATAATACATAATCACTACAAGTATTTAATAATTGCATAGCATTTAGTTGTCTTAGACTGAAATGAGGGTCTATAGATGCTGTACTCCAATGGCCAATGGCCACAAATATTTAGCTTATTTCACGATTTACAGACCTCTGATGTAGCATATTTCGACCAGACTTAATTGTCTGTAATTTTGCTTTTTTTTTTTTTCCATTTACCTTGCCATCCCAGTTGTGGCACAGAAAATAAAATAAAATCACATTTGTGTCACAAGAGCCCTGCAGCGCCACTCCACTCCAATATTAGATCCAACCAATATGGTGAAGTTCAATTTGGAATGTCCTCAAAGCTTCCGTGTCAGCAAATTATGCTCTTCCGGCATAATTAAACACAAATGAAAAAAAAATCACGTTGGAAACTTGCACCACATCCTCAGCTTAACTGAACTGCTGGAAATGTTTCCACCATTTGCATAGTCACCACCTCCGTCATCAGTGCTGGTCCAAACATGCCTAGAAGAGACCGCAAATCAATTAAAAAAAATAATAATAATACAGGTATATGATCGCATGTGATATACGAAATTACCCAATTTTACATAATTAGCCAAAACAATTCTTTATATACTAAAAATAATTGTGTATGTACATTCTAGCTTTATTCATCTACAATAGCTATGCCACAACATGTAATAACTGGCAAAATAAAATAAATGCTCTTCCACAGAAAATAACATGTAAAGCCACCTGTTGCCATTCATACAGCAAAATAACAGCTTTGAGTTCATTTAAACTGGCCCAGATCTCACACTGAGTAAGTAAATTTGTGAGTACACTGAGACTTTTTTTTTTTTTTCAATTAATAGTGATCCTCATGTTTCCATGGATAGCCAAATGTCTGATTGACTCTAAAATGTTTAGAATTTCCCTTGGATGCCACAAAATGGCAATGAATTACTATTTTTTCCTTAGACAGGGTTTTGGCCAGTGAACAATGGAGGATAGGTTTTTGTCTCTAGGTAAATCCGCAAATACATGGAGGATCGCTGTCTTTTCATGATATTTTTGTCGAGTGGTGCGCTGTGAGATTTTTTTTCTCATGTAAAACACATGCCTTGGTTCAGTAAAAGTTTGGAAACTGATCCAGAAGAGAATTATAATGTCTTACTTGTTTATATTCAAATCGGTCTTGCAGGTAGCGGTTGCCCAGGCCGGTGATGTGCCCGACATTTTGGCGGGAGAGGCCGGCGATACGAGCCGTGAAGTCCAACGTGAAGGCCAGCTTGACCAGCTCGGGTGCCGTGGGTAGGACAGTGGGCTGTGTGCGCGTGGGTGAGGCCTCCTTCTCCAAATAGGCATCGGCCAGCCTCTGGAAGGACGAATATGACATTCTCTGGAAGAAGTTGCTCAGGGTGGAGTTGTCTTTAATCTGCATAGAAAACCAAAAAGGCAGAAAGTTCAAAGGTCAGTCAAGAAAATCCTTCCTATTGGTGAGTTCTCATAAAAGTGCTGCGACATGAGCATGATGAAAATCTCCTCGAGGGTGGCCATTGTTTACAAGCTGGAAAGTCAACAGCGGGCAATGATGCATGACGTAGGACTAAAAAATATCACATGCATGCATGCTGAAGTTTGAACTTTGACTACCATGACTACTTATCACCTCCTTTGTGGTCCAGCTGCCTTATCACAATAAGGCTTGACCCATTTAACAACTGTTCTACCGAACCTTTTAGCCGACCTACCTATGTAACTTACTTCAGAACTTAACTTCCGATGTAACTTCAAACTTGCTTTTCTGCCCAGGTAATCCACTTACCAAACATTCTAATCACCTATATGACCCACATATCTATCCAAACTACCTAACTAACCTCCTTCTTTAACCACCCTATCTAATATATCTAGTCATTTAACATACCTTCCTACCTACCCATTAAACCTGCCTACCTACTGTACCCATCGAACCAACCCATGTAATCGGCCTACCTACCTACCTGCCTACCTACCAATTTACCGATGTAACTCCCCTTTCAACCTACCTCTGTACTTAATCTACTCATGTAATCTGCCCTTTCAACCTAATCTACCCATTGAATATATCTTCCTACTTCAAGTATGCTTAACTATGTTACCTGCCCTGCGATTGGCTGGCAACCAGTTCAGGGTGTACCCCGCCTGCTGCCCGAAGACAGCTAGGATAGGCTCCAGCATGCCCGCGACCCTTGTGAGGATAAACGGATTAGAAAATGGATGGATGAACTATATTACCCATCTAACCCACCTAATACCTTCTTTGCTAGCTACCTGTAGCTACTATACCTACCTAACCTACCTATCACCGGTGTTGAGCCCTTGTCACAATTGGGTAAATTTAATATTTTTCCACTGATCTATAATGTTAGTCAGTCAACGTGTGTGCGTGTTATTTTTACAGCAGCAGTATGTAGCCCAGGGGTGTCAAAGTCAAATGGACGGAGGGCCAGATAAAAAATTTTGCTGCAAGCCGAGGGCCGGACTGATCGAATGTTCATTGAAAATTTTAAAAATGACCACATATTGTTTATTGAACCAAATTTAATTGACTGAAAACCTAACAAATACATTCCAATATGGTCAGATAAATAAAGCAACATTTTTTTATGGCTACGTCAGTAAACTTTAATTTTCAACAGGCACAAAAAAAATTCCTTTGTATAAAAATACCCATAACATGAATGAAAGAAGCCGATATTATTCAAGGCACTATCACTAGTCCATATTTTCTCTTTTAGCAAAAGTAGGCTAAATTTACTTAAAAGAAAAACAAATAAT